GCCTTTAAAGAAATTATGTTTTAGTTCTGGTTTCACCAACAGATGGCACCACTTGCTTATTCTTGTCCAGGCCTTTCTTATCTTATCTAATCATTGTTTCCTATCTTGTTCATTTGCAGTGTTGCAGCTGAAGATGGTGGTTCGGTAAAACCATCGAAACTAGTCCTGTGAAAATTTTGTGCTGAATTAGTATTTATTCGGCGTGTTATTGTGTCTTAACCATTGAATTCTTATTTTAGAGCATTAATTCATTCAACTCCCCAAAACACTTAAGTGTTGCATCGATTATATCCTTAGTATGTAAACTAATGCAATTAACATAACGCTAATGGGATGCAGAGCACTACCTTCTATTTTAATTTTACCCAATACAATTACAATCTGTTACAGTTCTGTCCAATCAAAAATGGTATTTTGCATAACTACATTTTTATAGCCTACAATTTACCCTTGCTGAACTAGGGTAAAGAAACTAGCTTCAATTATCATCTCTAGTTGTTTGGGTGCATTGAAATTCAGATAAGCAAGATTAATCAAATTCAAATAATCACGGTCTTTGCTATGAATTTTTCCTGAAGGTAAATGTGAAGTTAATTTGTTAAGAATATATGCTTGTTAAAACATTGTTTCTTTAAAACTCAGATTTAGAAAACAATTTTACATTTACATAACTGCAAGTCAGTGCTAATCTCATTGTAAATCAGCATCAGCAAGTCCCTTTATGCAGATGTTGGCATTTTGTCTTCATATATTTAATTGTCAAATAAATGATTCGTTGATGAAAGAAGCTTTGCTTCCACTGTCAAAAAGGATAATACTACATTTGTGACCTTAACTAGTAGAATCTTAAACTATTACTGCTGCAGTTAGTAAAATACTCTGACCTTGACAGATAGTGCACTATTGATAAAATACTCTGACACTAAGCAGAAAAACTCAAAACATTTTATTCGTCTAAGTTACAAATTTGTTCATGAGGTGGAGACGAATTTGATAGCAGTACATTATTACTTTTAATATCTTCATACAATAAAGTATGATGTTGTTCTTTACAAATAAAACATAAAGTTTGCAATGAACAAAATTTTGTTGATGATTCCCCAAACAAATGAAGCATAATAAATTCTTCGGGATGATATTTTTCCTAATTGTAATATCTACACTTTTAAATTTATAACACTTTGACAAATCATTGAAAACCATTGCAGTGCTGAAATTTTAGAACAGAATATCTATTATTATGTGAAACACACTTAAAAACAGCTTTTCATGTAATACTGGACTTTCAATATTATGACTGTTTAACATTTCGAGTAAAACGCTTCTTTAGTTTTAGAATTCCAAAAAACATTCTAAGCTAGGAAATTCTTCTTCACCAGTCTTTCATGACATAAATGATACGCTTTAGGGTTGACCTTTTTTAACAAAAAATAAATTACCTAAACATATCTTGATGAAGCTTTTCGCGAAGAGATTTTAATCCATGGATAACGTCATCAGATGTATCAGCCAATTTTCTTAAATTAGCAGAATCAGCACTAGTAATTCTGGGTTGCTCAAGAAATGTTTTATAACGTGACAATTTGATTTTTTTGTTTTGGAAATCAGAATGTGCTTTATAATAGCAGCTGGTTCGTCTGTTAAAAAGTCTTATCAAGTATTGGAATATCTGAATTTTTGCAATGAATGATTTGTATGAGCTATTGTCATGTACAGATCTTTAAAATTAAGCCAATCCATTGAAACTTGGAATGTTTAAACAAGGAAGTTTAAAACTAGTATCAACTGTAGTGGGATTTGATGTCGGAACACTCTTGGCAGTAAATATTTTAATGGCAGATTGATACATTACCTTTGTATTCATCAATTTCAGAACCTTCTTTGAGTAAAAAGGCATCTTATTGATCAAATTCTTTAAATACATCCTTAATGATGAAGGCCCAACCTCCTCTATTCCTGGATGCTGTATCCACTCTGTAAATATAACAGCCTTTCATTTTTAGAGCAAATTTTTATTTAGCTTTGTTTCCTGGATAGCAGTCATTTGAGTGTTTTTAATTTCCTCTATCTAAAAGTTCTCCAAGTTTAATTGTGTTTGCCTTAGTAATCAAGTCATTAATGTTGCACTGTAGAATTTTCAGGGTCTTGGAGTATGTGGAGACTGTAACTTACTTCTCAAAAAAGGCTTTCTGCCTAAACTTTTTAAACTAAAACTTCAAAGGTCTGTACAACATATGATGCAGCATCAAAATCTTGAGTCAACAGATTCATGAAATGTAGAAAATGTGCAGCTTTTTTTCATCCAAGGACTGGAGCACCAAACGGCAGAAAACTGAGCTTCTTCACTTACTGATTTTAGCTGGACAAAAGGAATGTCCTTCATGCCTTAATGGTCTTACCAGGAGTAAACTGCAGGTGTACTTCACCCACACTATGCAAGGGCACTCTCCCTCCATAATGAGGCAATCAAAAAGGATGCATCAGGAATTTTAAATATATGCTGCTTTTAAAATTCTTGTGATTTTGCTGTTGAATTTTATATGGCGTAAGTGTGAAGAAAACAATGTTTAATAATAAATCTAAAACGAAAAAAGAGAGGTTAGCAGGAAATGAGTGCAGTAGCAAACTGGTAGGCTAAACTTAGCAAGAGTGTAAGAGACCTTAACACACCCTTTTGGTGACCAATCTGAACCCTTTCAGACACTAATGTATTTTAAATCTGATAAATTAGACAGTTTTTCCCCATATTCATGTTAGCTTGCTATTGATTGGGTTTTAGTAGGGGATGAGCAATAACTTACTGATTGGAATTTTCACTGTCAGGGAGCTTATATAAAAATTTGAAAATGTCATATGATCAGGATTGTGGTAATAGTTATTTATTCATTTTTTAACTGCAGCCACAGTTCTACATTTAACCCTTTACCTGTGTCATCTGGTCAAAATTAATTCAGTTTGGGCAATCATACCAAATTGGGAATGCCTAAACTGACTTAGGGCTGAAGAAAAATAAGTGTTTCTGTGAAGCCTGAAATGAGTTTGTTTTCCTTTAACAAATGCTTGATGCAATGTAAATCACTGTTTTGCAATAGATGGTGATACTTGTTCTGCATTTATTTGAATATTGGGTGCGATCAGCTATAAAGGTGTTTATCGAGAGTGATTTTTGGCCTGTGCGCCGTGTCATGTTTTCGTTTATGTCATACTAATAAAAGATTTGTGAAATTTTTGTGTTTTGTATTAAGTTTATCATTGGTTTATTATATTTTGCTCAAACGCTGTTTGTTTTATTTTGCTATAACTAAGCAATTTTGAGTAAAATATGACTGTATCTAATAATTTTTCAGACATATATCAAAATATTAAATATAGTACAGTATAAAGTCTTTAATCCGGATGTCCATAATCCAGAATGATCGATAATCCGGACCTCAAAGCTACAAACTTTCTGCGCATGCATAGTGTTTATATGCATGCGCATAATACCTGTACGCATGCACATAATATGTTTACGCATGCACGTTTAATGTATAACGGACTGTATAAGCTAGGCTAAAATTATCTAATTATTTCAGTTAATGTTTCAGATTGCGTTGTTCCTTAATCTTCTAATTGGATCCGGCTTATTATTTTTTGCAGACTATTAGAGCAATTTTATAAAAAGTAAGCTTGAACTTTTGATTATGTCAAAAAGAGTTTCTGATTCTGGAGCTGCCAAAGGATCTACAAAGTGAAAGCATGTTTCGATGACCATCAAACAAAAAGTGGAATTGCTGCCAAAAATGGATAAAGGCATGAAGAAAGTGACAGAGAGGTTAGTGAAAATGAAAACATTTCAATTGACAAGTTAGTTGGTATTCTGAGCACAGCAATTACAGGACTTGAACAGTGGAACTTTGTAACTGAACAAGAAATTATGTCTGTTTATAGAATTAAAGAGAAAGTATTAGCACATAAAACAAAGCAACTTAAACAACTTACATTGAAAGAAATGTTTAATAAAGTAAACAAATAAATATTAAGCTTTTTTTTTTGTAAATTTTGATACCCTTTAGATCATAATTGTTCTTTATTTCATAAATTACGGTTTCATATTTTTAATTTTATAATTTCTGCATGCCATCTTACCAGATTTAAATTGATGATCTATAATCCAGAAGAACCCCTAATTCAGAATCGCAGAAGTCCGGATTAAAGACTTTGTACTGTAATAATTTCTTTTTTTTTTTTTTTTTTTTTACAAAACAAACTTTTTCTATCCTTATTTATCGTCATGATGCACAGAATTAAACGGTGGGGAAAAATTCTCTTTTTGGCACATTTTCCTGAAATAGACTTCATAGGTAAGAGGTTAACAGTCATGTAATTTTTTAAACATGTAATATATCATACTTTAAAAAGCAAACTGAGGTGTTTAAAGGCAATATCCTTATCAGTCGGAACAGAAGTTATCTACTACTAAGCAATTAAATTGTAATGACATCTTTATATAGCAAAGTAAGGCTGCAGAAAAAGACTGTATAAATAGATAATATAGCAATAGTTTTTAATTGCATATCAAAAAGTAATTTTTAAAAATTTTTTTTAAATAATATCCACTATTTAAAAACATGCAGAATGTAAGTAAGGTTAAATTTACTTCAGCAGTACAGTTGTGCCTTTTTTGAAAACACATAGAATTTGACATAAGTTACTATATCTTGGGGGGGGAAGGGAAAATGATGTATTTCATTGAACAGGAACTTTTCACATAAGTTATAACAAACTAACCTTTTAATATTTTTAATTTTTCATCGAAATGTAACTTTCCTAGAAAATTTAAACTTTTAATAATTTAATAATTTCTTTTTAAAGTTTATGTAATTATATTTTAATGATAAAACTTGCAGAGATTTCTAATCTTATGAAGATTTCAGTAACCATATACCATGTAACTTGGATTTAACCATACATATTAAAACGAAATTATGTTGATGCAAAATAATGTGTATACACAGATGTGTATCTGATGAGTTTTTAATGTAATAAGTTCATTTACCATTTTACATTAAATTATTTCAACATATTTAGTAATTACAGAGGAATTTTATGCACATCTGGTAGGTTTCTTCAGCTGCTTCTTCATCATCCCACTTTTCACTAAAAATTAAAAAAATTGAAAACTTTATAAATCTTCATTTTTATTGATTATGTGTTTCAGTGTGTTTTTAAATTATTGTAATTGTTATATTATGTATTTAAATACAGATATACTGTTTTACTGAATTTAAACAAAGCAAACAAAATGTATAATAAATATATATGTAGAAGGATTATTTAAATCTATAGGTATTAAATCACATTTTTGCTATATTTGATGATGCAGAAAACTGGCTATGGTAGCATTTCAATGACCAAGCTGGAGGAGTATTGCTATTGACTTTTAAGCATTTGGCACTGCAGTCATTAAAAAATAAAAGAAATCCAGTTATGGCATTTGATATTGGACAGTTAAAATAACAACAAATTGGCATTTCAGAGCAGGAACTGAGAACTAGTGTCCTGGAGGTAAGCTTGAGAATCCATGAAAAGCTCCAGCTTTCCCTGAAAGGTGCTATTTGTTGGGGGGGAAAAAAAAGTCTATAAGCTCTATTTTCTTAAACATTGATCCTAGACATATAGTTCTAATTCTAGAATTTTTCATTGTAAAGTAAAGAATTTTATCGAAACACTTTCAGTCTTGGAGACAGAAAGATTCTGTAAATATAAAATCTGATTTTTACACTTCATAAGGAATTTTATGACGTATGTACTTTTGCATACAAAACTTGCAAAACGGTAAGTAAATTATTAGATTCATTGACACAACCATAAAAATTAATAATGAGTGTTGTTTTGCCCAGTTTGGAAATATTAACTGATATTATGTAATTTTGCATGTAAAGATATGAAAATTCTAAATGTAATGAATTAAAGCATAATAATCAATTTACTCATTAGATTTATTGCTCCATAAAGCCAGTATAAAAAGTTGGATTTTGAAATTTTCAAAACCTTCTGCCAGTACTCATGATGTTGAAATAACTTTCATAAAATTCTCTACTTAAAAAAAAAAAAAAAAAAAAAAAAAAAAAAAAAAAAAAAAAGTATAATTGGAAGTACTTGTCAGGATGAGTATGAAATGAAGAATGTAGATGTAATTTTTTACCCTTTGCATAGAAAATTGCATATTGCATTATAAGGTATTTACTGCACAAATATGTAGTGTCACTGGAAAACATGTCTTACTGGCAGTCCAGTCAAAAGCTCTGGAATTCAAGTCACAGTTAGAGCATTGCTCATTTTTCATGTAGCCTGCCTGGACAAACCTAATGACTCTACAAATGGCACCTCAATTAAAAAAAATGTTGCGAATGATAATTTAACCGGATGATAATTTAATAATGATAATGTTGCGGATGATAATTTAATAATGATTACCACCAGGATTCGGCGAATGGGTCTCCTCTTGTTCCGTTGTCCTTTAAGTGGATAAGAATGTAAGGTTTTCCTCCCATCTTACTGCCTGACTTCATGGTATTATTAGGAAGTACAGGGTCATTATAATGAAAGTTACCCTATTTAGACCTATGGGATGAATCTATTTTGCCGAAGCTTGATATATATATTATATGGATCATGGGCAAAAGAAAACTACAGTAAAAATGATAGTTTATATTTCAGCCACCAGGTGGGAAGGGTGCACATGAACACAAAACTTTATTTAATTATCGGATTCATTCAATGTGCATTCCATTTGCATCTTGCAGCAACATGATATGTTATACTTTTTTCAATTCGGGCATAGTCCATATGCTTCCTCTGTAGACATGATCTTTCAAAAATCCCCATTACTAGCAGTTACAGGGATTCAAGTCCAGAGAACGAGGAGGCTAGGCAGTCAGAAAACTTCTCGAAATTACCTGATCATCTCTAAAGTGAGCCTTAACTGTGAGCAGTGTTTCAGAGGCAATGTGAGCTAGTACACCATTTTGCATGACCTCTAAACATTCTTGTTCTTATAAGGTAGGAATGACCTGCTGCTGAAGAAGTTTGTAGTAGTGAGCAGTCATGATAGAACACCTCTGAGGAAAGTTACTTAGGAGGGTTCTCTTCAAAGGAAAAGCGGCCAAGAATTAGTATAAACACCATACAGTAATGAAATTAGGATGCAGAAAATGTTTGCGCATAGCATTAGGTCTTGCCATCCTTAACCCAGTGGACCAGCTATCCCTCCAATGGTGAAAAGAAAAGAAAGTGTACCATATCCAACAGTTTTGAGTATTAACTGCTCCGTGTAGTGTTAAATGCGACTTAACTGACCACAAAATGTGTCGAGGCCATGCAAAGTCAATGGCTATTCTGGCCAAATTGAAGACTTATAAAATCAGTGCATTTGTCCAGGTCTGCAGGATGCAGCCCTTACAGAACTTGCATCTTATATGGAACCTTTCATTCTGTTGACCAAGGGAGAGATAAATCACATGGCACCACTCAAGCACTTGTCGAAGAAAATTGGGAACCAGCTGTGCTTTTGACCACAGCAAGAGCAACATCCTCTGCAGTTTCATTTGAAATCCATTTCTGTCCTCTTGCTCACTGCATGCACAACTTTCCATTTTCTTCAGATATAGTAATCATCTTTTCAAAGCCTGCCTTGACAAAGACCCTTTTTGTAACCCTTTTTGGCGTTCTCACAGTGCAGCTAAAAAATTACTGCTGTTCTGATAAAACAACTCTTTATCAGTAAGCTTTTCAAGCATTGATGTTCTCACAGTGCAGCTGAAAAATTATTGCTGTTCTGATGAAACAACTTTATCAGAAAGTTTGATCTTTCTTCTTTAAAGGCATGGTGAAGAATTATTTTGTGCCATTGACTGTTGGCTTTTTAAAATGCTCCAGATTTGCATAATATCCTTTCTACATTGCATGAAAAATGGCATCTGTCATTAAAATTTGAACTATTAATTTTTATTGCAGATTCTTCCCCCTCCCCCAAGGTCCACGTAAAATATATACTAAGTTTCAACAAAACATACCACATTAAATATTATTCTCTCTGAATAATCAGACGTAATACACACAAAAAAATTAATCTTTCATTTCAGGACCAGATATGCATTCCATCCCTCGACAGCCGGTCTCTATTCTCTCTCTTTGCTTTTACATAAACTTCTCCTTAGGGTTGCCGTATTTATCCACAGACACATGGGGGCGCAAGGTGCACTCATTATTGCTATCACCATGCAATTTCCCCTTAGTTCCTTGATACCAACTGAAAGGAATGCCATCAGATTATGAACTAGTATTTCAGAGGATCTGTGCTGTCAAGGTGTTTTTTTTTTTTTTTTTTTTTTTTTTTTTTTTTTTTCCGTTCATAGCAGATTTAGGATATAAAATTAGAAAAATCAAAATGCGATTCAACACATGGCAAGGTAATACACACATATACACATTAAATGTTAATAAATATGTGAAAAAGCAAATTTCAAAAAAAAAAAAAAAATTAAATTGTAATGTAAGAAGAAAGTTTCTTTGGGAAGTGAACAAGCCTTCTTGATCTTGTGACAGTTCATGTTTTAGAGTTCATTAGATCAGTTTTATTTTGTTGAACTATCTTTAAGTCTCCATCTGGTTTCAGTTCAGGCAAATCAGTGTCCGAAAGCAAATAAAGTGGTTTTACACGATCTGTAGACACCGTAGATGTTAGGCCATTTATTTCAATTGTGAATGTTTTGTCCATTCTGGTGAGGATTTTTTGTGGACCAGAGTATGGCTCACACAATTGTGGCTTTACTCAATCAAAACATAAGTATACATGTGTACATGATTTTAGGTTAGAGCTTATGTAATACTTATCTTGACAATGTGCAGATAACCATTAACTTGAAGCATAAGCTTGAAAACTGCAGTTTTATTTAATTTTACTTCCTGGATAAAAAAACTGTGTTTTCTCCGAGTACAGTGCACTGTACTTTTTTTAGAATAAACAATGAAAATCTGACTTACGGGAAAAAATATGGCTGGTTAAAGCAAGTTCAGGTAAGGGAAGTCTGTTGTTGATTGTTTAAGAATATAAAGAATTCGAAAAACAAGCAGTTAAAATTATACTTAAGTGTACATTTCTTAACAAAATTCTTTATTGAATCAGTCTTTTTACTTTCTTGTACCAAGAAAAGAAAGTATTGTAATCAGGAAAAATTTTGGATTTCAACAATGCGTGACTTGTACAGACAGAATAAAAGTTTAATTCTAAAACAAATTATAAAATGGAATTAAAATGGATTTTTCTGAGATATTTGTATATACGTATGTATGCATAACTAAAAAGCAAAATTGTGTATCTGCGACTGCTTTAACATCTAGCATATATATTATGTACATACACATCCACCCTCCTTACATTAATGAGTTGTAAACATGTACTTCCAGTAATAACAACTAAAATGGTTCGGTAAAACCATCGAAACTAGTCCTGTGAAAATTTTGTAGGTATAACGCTGATTTTTGTTGTTTGACTTCTGGATTAGTATTTATTCGGCGTGTTATTGTGTCTTAATTATATACTTCCAGTTTTAGAATTCTTTTAGATGACGAAAATATTCATGTTTTGACAATTTCAAAGTTAAAAAAAAAAAAAAAAAAAAAAAACTAATTTTGAATAAATTATGAAAATAATATTGTCTTTTAATATGGTCTCCCAGTTCCTATACTTATATTTGGGAAAGTATTATACTTTTTATAAAATAAATAAAAATACAAGAGGTTTGACAAAAAAGTTTACCGGAACATTTAATTTCAAAACTTGCAATTTTTCATGTAATTTTCAGTTTGCCTTGAAGGATCAGTTAAGTTAGAAAAATTTGAGGAAATAAGTTTAAAGGGAGTGCAAAAAATGCATATAACTTAATCTTAAGAAGTCGTGCTATCTGCATCAGATTTTTTTTCCCCAAAATGTAAATTCATATAAACAATTAATATATGAAATATAAATACAAAATAATTACATTCTTCGATGTGCATCTCCTGGTTGATTGAACAAGTGGAATTTCTTCTGATTATTTTCCAGTTGGCATGTATCTTCTTCCATTGCATTTATAAGATTCTGAGGAGAAATGAAATGGTGAACTTATTTACAATTACGTCTTAAAAAGTAAATTACCATATTGGCTTGAATAGTAGGTGACCTTTTTTTTTTTTCTTTAAATGCCAATTTGAAAGTATTCCCATCTTTAGCCTAATATCCAAAATATATTATAAAAAGTGTTAAGATAATTTATCATTTATCCTTAACTTTTTTATTAAAAGAAAAAAGGTTTTTGCATCAAAATATGTCATTTAGAATCTTTTAATTATTTTTCCTGCACACTTCCAGAAAAAATCCAATTTAGTAAAATTAGCTTGTGTGTAAGTTTTTTTTTTTTTTTTTTTTCCCTCCCTCCCCAAAGCATCTTTAGAAATACAGTCAAAAGTCGTTAATCCGGACTCGTTGGGACTTCGGCGATTCCGGATCATAGATCATCAGTTTAAATCTGGTAAGATGGCATGCAGAAATTATAAAATTCAAAATATGAAATCGTAATTTATGAAATAAAGAACAATTATGATCTAAAGGGTATCAAAATTTACAAAAAGAAAAAGCTTAATATTTATTTGTTTACTTTATTAAACATTTCTTTCAATGTAAGTTGTTTAAGTTGCTTCATTTCATGTGACAATACTTTCTCTTTATATCTATTAAACAGACATAATTTCTTGTTCAGTTACGAAGTTCCGTTGTTTAAGTCCTATAATTGCTGTGTTGAGAATACCGACTAATTTGTCAATCAAAATGTTTTCGTTTTCATTAACCTCTCTGTCACTTTCTTCACTATCGGAAGCGAATTATAATGATGAGGAACTTGATTTAAATCATATCAAAGATGGAGTATATCAAGATGAAATACTACATTTAGTAAGGAATTATAAGCCAAATAAAATAAAAGCATCTGCCCTGAAGATAAGGATAGTGCTGACAGATCAACTTCCAATTCATTGCGTGCCGTGGCGATTCTGCCCCCCCCCCTGTCGCAGAGCAGCGTGAAATTGATAAATAGATTTCGGATTTCAAAACATACTTTCGCTTTGTAGATCCTTTACATATTAGTAAATATATATCGGAAATTCTATTTGACATAATCGAAAGTTCAAGCTTACTTTTATAAAATTGCTCTAACAGTCTGCAAAAAATAATAAGCCGGATCCAATTCGAAGATTAAGGAACAACGCAATCTGCAACATTAACTGAATTAGATAATTTTAGCTTAGCTTATACCGTCCATTATACATTAAACGCGCATGCGTAAACGTATTATGCGCTTGCATATTCGCAGCCGTAAATGTCTTACGTGCACGCGTAAACGACTCATGCGCAGAAAGTTTGTAGCTTTGAGGTCCAGATTATAGATCATTCCGGATTATGGGTGTCCGAATTAACAACTTTTGACTGTATTTGTTTCATGTGTTTAATTATTTTATAAAATTAACTTAATATTTTGTTAATATTCATATTTATATTTCTTTTACACACAATGCTAATTTATGTAAAAACGAAAAATTTTTTTAAACCTTTTTGTACACCTTAGAAGTTTAATTTCATTGATATAATCTTTATTATATAGATATAGTGAAATATCCATTTTCATAATGAGATTAAAAATTATATTTAAATTTATGCTGAAAAATTAAATGCATGTCTATTATTTTACAGAAATGAAGTTTATGGAAGAGAATCACAAAATTCAGCTGTAATTTATTTTCATCTTTGAAAAAAACTGCCTTAGAGATGCAAACTTCTTTCAAAAATAAATTGTCAGCACTTGTGTATTAAAGATTTAATTTTTCCGAATTGTCTTTTTATTTAAACAGACTTGTTTTTGTAATAAAATAGCAAACTCTAAAATAATATTTATATGTACTCATACTTTAGGTTAGGGATGCAGAAGGGCCACTCACAAAAACGCAAGTTCTTCAGTTACCTCAAAATTTTCAGAAATTCCCCTAACAAACAAAAGTAGCTGAGTTGTTGAAGTAATGTCTGTTGACTCATCAACTGCTAAAGAAAAGTAATTAAATTTGACGACAGCAGTATGTAATTGTTCATTAATATTATCACATAAGTTTTCAATTCTTCTTTGAATTGTCATTCTTCTGAGACTCACGTTTTTGAATTTCTTCGTAGCTTCAGAGCATACTTGCTCGGATGCCAACAATATACACTCCTTTGCAAAATCGCAGTCAGTAAAAGGGTGGCCATTTTTATAAGGTGACCAGATTTCGAAGTTTGGAACGCTTTCTCTCTCTCTCTCTCTCTCTCTCTCTCTATATATATATATATGTATACATAAATAATTAAAAAACATTTTTTTTTTACAAATAAATTATTTTATTGTTAATGTGGTAGAGGTAGTATGTAAGTCAATGTATATACATAAAATTAAAGGAAATCAAAATAAATCATTTTTGTTTTATTTTTTAATAATGACATATAATATTTTTTCAATGTAAAAGAAATCAAAATGCAGTATTCATTTTTAAACAAAATAATAAATTTGTAATCTTTCTAAATTATTTTCATTAAGTAGTCTTATATTTCTCTGAAGCATGAATATTTCTTAAAACATCCTTTTATTTTTTGATCTTGTTATAAAAGTGATAAAATACCCTTCAAAGTCTCTACTTTAAGCTGTGCTTTATCACTAGTCCAAAAACCGTTCAAGTTCTAAATACTTGCTCAGTTGCAGCATTAGTGCCAACAAGACAAAAGAAAAACTCTAGCTATTTTAAAACATTTGAACAAGAAGTCTATTAAAATGTTTCAAAATTGAACAGATCCATCCACCCGTGATATGGGGACATCTTATTTTTTTTACCATTCCAATAATCTTTCTTCCCGTGATATATTGTTTAAGGTAAACATATTCCTCATATATGTCAATTTTCAATAATTTATGATTTGATATCATTTTATTAATTAACAAAAAGGCTGTTTCAACTTGACCTTAAGAAGGGATTTCATTTAATATGATCCAGCTGTAATGTTTCCATCTCTTGAAATACTTTTTTGTCCATTTCTCCAAGTAAGTAACAGCGGTCTGATAAAATGAAAAAATGGCTTCGTATTGTGCCACCTTCTTCATATTTTTCTAGAACTTCTTTAACATTTATTGGAATAAAGTTATTCTCTATCTTGCTCAATATTGAAGCTTTCAGAGAATGTTTTGAAATAATTACATCAAATACAAATGCAGTTTGATTTTCAATTGTTGTAATAACTTTATTCAATATAGAAGTCCGAGTGTTAATAAAATGTAGCCAAGCTTCTGCCAATGGATTTTCAAAGAATTTAAAAATAAGCATGGAACACTTTTCTTGAGAATGAAAATAAGCCTTCAGTGGTTAAAACATTTGGAGTACCCTTTCAATGGCAAAAAGTAATGTTAACCATCTTATTTGTAAATACTCTAGTATCAATAAAAATCGGTTTCTACAAAGTTACAGAAATTTTTCAATGTTTATTTTAACAGTATAAGATTTAAAGTATATTTTTAAAATAATCATTTCTGTATCAACTGGCAAACCATTAGCTAATGCTCTTGTAGTGGTATGGATAATACAAGTTTGTGCTGCACATTTGGTTCCAGTTAAACCATGGTTAACGTTTCATTTCAGTTTAAAAAAAAAAAAAAAAATCTGCATGTCTGCCAGCTCCTCCAAAGTAGCCATTCGTATTATTGGCACAAATACCAATAGCTTTTTCTTTTAAATTATTTTCCTCAAGACAGGTAGTTAAAGATTTGCTGACAATATCAGATCTTTGACACCAGGTAAGGATTTAAATTCTAAAAATTTTACTCTATATCCATAACTCCTATCTACAAATCTAATAAGTATTGGAAAAGTTTTATTTCCTTGTGATTGGATGCATTAGTTAAGATTGAAATAAATTAACACTTTTTCAAAAAAATGTGCAAAGCTTTTAAAGCGTAAGGTACGCAAACATTTAGTATTATTGCTTCGGCCCTGGTTCATGTACATATTAATTTAGGCTCAAATGCTACTTGAAGGAGTTTGAACGGACAAGCCACAGACCCAAAGCTATGTTTGTGGCAAATAGTAGGGTATGCAGCAGTACCACCTACTGCAGCTGCTAATCTTTTTCCTTATGACCCATTTTCTCCCGTTTGAAGAAATTCTATAATTAATTTTTTAACAAGTTAGATGCAAAAGAGTTTGGTATTTTATATTTATTATTGTTTATATGTAGTTTAATATCTGTACGTCCACCATCTTTGTATAGAAAATTTTGAAGAGCATGTATTGCACTGTACATCAGAATCGCTTATAGTTTTTTCAATACACTGGCATTCCTTCTGTAGGTCTTATTTAAAGGTACTCATTCTTTTTTTAACCCATTACTTAAAAAAATCAATGGTAAAAATAAGTAATAAATTAAACTGCAGTAAAATATACCCTTAGGACGTATGTAATTCACCGTTGATAAATAAAAAATATATGTCATTGGCAAACGAAAAACGTCATTGTTTCGGTAGATTTTTTAAAACCTTTGTTGCATCATCTCCACTCTAGTTTAAATTTGTTTATTCTTCTGTAAATGCCTTAACAGATTCCATTCCTGTTTTTCATTCTATTATTAGATTTCACTGCGATCATAGAGGCTGTAAGCATCATAGTAAGATTGCTATTTGGAAATGGCTGTACTTCGTTTCATTAGAAATTTCATTAAACTTATATACAGTCAAAAGTCTTTAATCCGGACTCGTCGGGACTTTGGCGATTCCGGATTATAGATCATCAGTTTAAATCTGGTAAGATGGCATGCAGAAATTATAAAATTAAAAATATGAAACCGTAATTTATAAAATAATGAGCAATTATGATCTAAAGGGTATCAAAATTTACAAAAAAAAAGCTTAATATTTATTTGTTTACTTTATTAAACATTTCTTTCAACGCGCGCATGCGTAAAGCATACATTACGCATAGTCGAAATTAGAAAATTGCAACCAGAAAACTATTTGATTTGTATTCGTGATATTTATAATGACGAGGAATTTGATTTAAATCATATCAAAGACGGAGTACATCGAGATGAAATACTACATTTAGTAAGGAATTATAAGCCGAATAAAATAAAAACATCTGCCCTGAAGATAAGGATAGTGCTGACAGATCAACTTCCAGTTCATTGCGCGCCGCGACGTCCCCCCCCCCCCGTGCAGAGCAGCGTGAAATTGATAAACAGATTTCGGAATGGTTAGAGAAACAAAGGATATGCCTTTATCCATTTTTGTGCAGCAATTCCGTTTTTTGTTTGATGGACATCGAAAACATACTTTCGTTTTGTAGATCCTTTGGGAGCTCCAGCATCGGAAATTCTATTTGACATAATCGAAAGTTCAAGCTTACTTTTATAAAATTGCTCTAACAGTCTGCAAAAAATAATAAGCCGGATCCAATTCGAAGATTAAGGAACAACGCAATCATGCAACATTAACTGAAATAGATAAATTTAGCTTAGCTTTATACCGTCCGTTATACATTAAACGCGCACGCGAAAACGTATTCTGCGCTTGCGCAGACGCATATGCGCAGTCGTAAATGTCTTGCGCGCACGCGTTAAAACGCCTATGCGCATGCTCAACGCGCCGCATACGCAGAAAGATTTTAGCTTTTTACATTTTCTTATATTGCCATTTTTTATTCATAATTAGTAATTTTAGACATTTATTTTAAATGTCAGTTCGAGAAAATTGTGAAGTGGGTAGATAAAGATCTACCGAAAGGAGTGAATTGAAACCCAAATGTACTGCTTATCAAGCCAAAACACCACTGGAAATGTTTATGTTTGGCAAGGAATTTCTAGAACATTTGACATATGAATTTAATAGGTATAGGTTACAAAATCGTAGCAAAATGAATTCAATCACAATCAAGGAAATGAAGGTATTTCGGGGGATCTGTATGTACATGCCAGTTGTAGATTTACCATTTAGAAGATGGCAATGATCGCTGCAAACAAGGCAGGAAATGATTTCAAATGCAATGACTGTGAATCATTGGGAAGAGATTTGTATGCATGTATGTATATATATGCATGCTGTCCACTGTAGTGAACAAACTGTAGCAATTATTTAAAACGAAATTTGAATAAAATAAATTTTTTTTATTATTACTAAGGTTATTTTAAGTAGAAAAAATACAAACATTTTCGTTTAACTTTACTAGATTATTTGTATGCAACAAAGGGTTAATTATTATGCAAAATCAAAATGACGATGCAGTAAAAATTTTACAGTCTAAACGTGACAAAAGAAAGATCATTTTAGATGAATATATTTACAATATAATTTCAGCAAATGCTAAAAGTATTTTTAGATGTCATGTAATAATTGTGTAAGGGGATGATACATAATAACGTTTGTAATGCACAGTTGATAAATAAAAAATATGTATATATTATAAATTCAAATCACAATCTAATTAATATATCAATTAAAAATTGCAGTGCTGTCTGAATTACAACTGTGAGCTCTGAGCAAAAATTCCATGTATGTTGGGGGGTGGCTGGGGAGAGAAATGCATGAATGAGAAGTCAAACTCCCCTACTACAATTTTTCTAAGGTAAATGCTAGATGTAGAATCTCCTATTTATTGCGGCCGGTACGGCGTGCGTCTTTTAACCTATACTTGCATTCTCAATTTGCAATCTATGTTAAATAAATATAGGCATTTAAGCTTTTACCTTCTCGCACTACTGTTTTTTGGTACAACTGCTATAAATTTAGGACCAAAAAACGAGTTACAAAAAATCGGGACAAAGAT